CGAGCCGGTCCCAGCCCCTAGGGACCCCATGGATAACAGAATGGAACCCTGCGCAGCCCTCACAACGGTTCTTATGTCAGCCCATTGTTGCAGCCACTGTGTCCACCCATCTTGTCCAGGGCCCTCCTCTTTACCGCTGCCCCTCTAGGGAATGGTCTCACCTGACAACATATCCCCAAACAGTGACAGTCTCCCCATCCTTGCCTCTGAGGAGCACTCTGGCCTTACTTCTTCCAAGACCGCTTGGTTTGTTCTATCGGCAGTCCGGGGCACTTTTAGTATCCTTCGCCAGAACCATGGTTCAAAGGCAATCGTTCTTTTTTTGGGTCTTCCTCATCCAATGCCCAACTTCCCTGTGCCTATGAAGTGAGTGAAAAATAAATCACCATGGGTGATTGGTTGGCTTGGGTGACCTTGGCTTGGGTCAGGCACACTTCAGTCCTCAAAGTAACGCCCTTGCTTTTCAACACTTTAAAGCGGTCTTTTGCATCAGACTGACCCAATGTACAGCAACCTCTTGACGGCTGCTTCCATGAGCATTGATTGTGGATCCAAGCAAGCCAAAATCCTTGACAACGTCATCCTTTTCTCTGTTGATCAGGATGTGCCCTGTTGGTCCAGGGGTGAGGATACTTGTTTTCTTTACATTGAGTTGTGCTCCTGCTGAAGGCTGTAATCCTTGATCTTCTTCAGCCCCTCCTCCCTTTCAGCAAGCAGGGTTATCACCTGCATTTTGCAGGTGGTTAACAAGTCCTCCTCCAAGCCTCATACCGCATTCGTCTTCGTAAATTACAGCTTCTCCAATTATTTGTTCAACCTGCGTCCTAGAGCCCCAGAAAAGCCTGTGCGTAATGCGAACGATGCTGGAAACAAGCATGAATACTGGGAAGCACTGAGCGTTGTCATCCACAGCCCCCATCCTGCGAGGGAAGCAGAGGCGCAAGTGGGTGGGGCTTGGGTGCGGCGGGGCGGGGCTGAGCGCAGTGGGTGGGGCTTGGGCGCGGTGGGCGGGGCTGAGCACGGCGAGGCGGAGCCTCAGTTAGACCGTGGCCAAACCGGCCTCCACAGCTCGGTGTCTCTGTTTCCACCGCGCTGTTGGATAATGAAATCAAGTTAAACAAACATTGTTTAATTGCCTGTGGATGACAGGGCGTCTGGGGAGCCATCAAACCCACTCCGGTCGGGGCGTTTGCCCAGGCAGGTGGCACGGGGAGCCCAAGTTGGCTGACTCGCCCCTGCCCACTCTCTGTGGTTAGGGAGCTGGACACCCTGTGCCCACTGACAGCCAAGCCGGTGCCGGGTGCCAGAGCACACTGAGGCCGGGCCAGCACACGCTCCAGAAATAAGTTCTGTCGTGGCCAGGGCGCGCCCCTCCCTTCCGATGATCCCCCCTGCAGAGCGTCCAGCTCGCTGCCTGGGATCCTGGAAGCACAGTGTTCCTGGCCTCCGAGCCTCAGGAATGTGCGGTTTCCGCGGTTGTTTTCTGGGACTGCAGCTCCACTCGACAGCTCCCCCGCAGCCGTCCACGCCTCCACCTCCCCGCGGCCCCAGAGGGCGGGGGCGGGGTGGGACGGGGGAGTGGGCTGGTTGAAGAACAGATCCGAAGCTTGAGCGCCAGAGTGGCTGTGACCAAGGTCATCCGGGTCAGCTCTGCTCTGGAGTCCGCTTGATCTTCATCCCCACAGCATACGCTGTCCAGAGTTCCAGGGTTCGTAGACAGACCCTGGAGGGCAGGCCCCTCCTCAGCATCAGCCCAGGCCCACCAAGGGCCTCCTGAGCCCGCCACTCCGAGTGTTAGGAGATGGATAGGAGGGTGGGTGGGTGAGGGGTAAACGGAGTGGAGGGTAGAGTGGGCAATCATTTGGGTGGTCGGTGAGGGTGAGGTGGAGAGATGGACCAATGGATGGGTGATTGGGTGGGCGGATAGCTGCATGAGGGCGGGGGTGGGTGGGCAGGTGGAGTACAGGGTGGGTGCCTGAGTCAAGTGAGTAAAGGAATAGGTTACGTGGGTAGGCGAGGTAAGGAGGCAGTCGATGGGATCGGGTGGGTGGATACCTGGATGAATGGATGGGTGGGTAGGCAGATGAGAGGAAGTGGAGAGGGAGGGAGGGAGTAAGGAGAGGGTAAGGTGGTAGATGGGCCAGTGGATGGGCGATTGGGTGGGTAGATAGCTGAGTGAGCAGGTGGGTAGGTAGGTAGAGTGTAAGGAATAGGTTGAGGTACAATGGACAGATGGGTCAGTGTTTAAGTGACTGGGTGAGTAGCTGGGTGGGTGGGTGGGTGGATGAATGGGTGAGTGGGTAATTGGGTAGAGAGCAGGGTGTTTGGATGCGTGAAGGATATTGTCGCGTGTTACTGAGTCGATTCTGACTAAGCTACCCGACGGAACAGAGTAGGGTCGCCCCACCGGGTCTTCTGGGTTGAGTTTTCACACAAGTGGGTCACCAAGTGTTTCTCTTGTGGAGTAGTTGGTAGGTGCAAGCTGCCAAGGGTGACCCATTGTGCCAAGAGGGCTCCTTGGGTGGGCATTAGGGTGGGTGAACAAAGGGGACCCTGTTGTTTCAGTCTGTCTTTCAAAGGTTTTCTTTTCACGGCTCAGGAATCCCGGGGCGACTGCTGATATTTGAGGGCAAGGCTAACGAGACACCAGGTCTGCCCATATCATCAGGCCTTCTTGTTTAGGGGCGTCACCAGGGGCCTCATGGGAACTCAGCCTTTCCTTGGAGGCCTCCCCAAATCTCCATGTGTGTGAGCCTGTCCCCTTTGGCCAGTCCCTTCCTCCCTGGAGGAACCCTCCTCTGTCCAACTGGGGGCTATTCCAGCCTTTGAGAGCCTGCCCTCTCCGGTCTTTCAGCCTGCCTCTGGTTGACTAAGCTGTGACTTCTCACCTGGCTGCGTTCCATCTTGCAAAATGTTATTGGCCTGGCTCGTCTGCTCCTCTGGGGTCACCCCTGCCCTTTTTGCTGCCTGGTGATTTTCCACCTCTCACGGCGCTTTCCTGGGAGGAGCCAGTGTGAACATGGGAGTGCGACTCCCCCAGGCTGCCTCCCCAGCCATCCGGCCCAATAAAACCCTTCCCCATCCCCGAGTCAGGGAAAATGTGTACATTCTTCTAAGTTGTTTGAATGTCCTAGTGTTTATACCTCGGGCTTTAATCTGCTTTATGTGTTGGGGTTACTGACAAGGTTTTATGGAAGAGGAGAGAGAGCGCTGTACCTAAAATATGCTTGTAAACCACCGACTTGGCTCAGTCAAGGGGAGGGAGGGAAGGAGAAGGGGGTGGGCAGGAGCCCTGCCGGTCCATATGGTGCCATTGTGTAAGCCAGATCTGGCCTGGGGAGCAGGAGGCAGGGTGGGTTCGCTACCCCTTTGCCCAGTGGCTGGGAATCCTGTGGGGTGGGCCACTGGGTGTGTGTGTGTGTGTGTGTGTGTGTGTGTGTGTGTGTGCTCAAAACCTGGACCACCTATTCTCATCCTGTCTCTTCACCTCTCTCGTGGAGAAATTGATATTTTCGAACAGGAAAGTTGGCCAAGTAATCTATGTTCAGGCTTAAAGTAAGGGACAACAATGGAGGGATCTTGGCAGCAAGCGGAGGCCGGCAGTGTGGGGGTCCGTGGCCCAGCATGAGGAGCACGTAGGGCCAGCCCCATTCCAGGACCCTCTCCCCTCATGGTCTGTTCCAGCTCACCTGGGCGGGGGTGGGGTAGGGTGGGAGGATTCTGTTGAGCTATCCAGAGGGCCTCATGCGTGGTCTGTGCGTCTGTTTAAGCAGAATGGGGTTCTCTGGGGTCAGGCTTTGAACCCAGCAAACACGGAGGAGCGAGAGGTGCCTCTGACTTCTAAACGGTTCAAGCTCTTTAGAGCGACGTTGAACCATCTCTCTCCCTATGAAAGAGCTCTGCTCTCCGGGGAGACAGATGTAAATTATGGCACAGAAGATGTGCCCCGGGGGCTTCTTGCATCTTGCTCTTCAGCAGCCTTCCTGCCGCAGCCCATTGGCAGCACCACCCCACCCACCCCCAACCCCACCCCCACCTTGCCCACTCGCTAAACATTCAGCTTCAGGAGAGAGGGTTTTTTTGGTTTTGTTTTGTTTCATGCAGAACTGACCTTGACTTTCACCCACCTACGTAAGCATTGCAACAGCACCCCCACCCCAGGACACCACCCAGCACCTCACTCCAGGCCCTCTGTGCGAGGCCCGCTCACTTCTGCAGCCCTGCCCACACCCCCTGGTGCCCTGGCTCTGCCCAGGCCGGGCCACTTATAACTCCTGCCTGTTCTCCATCCTCTGGCCACAGGACTTGTACTTCCCTCCCCCTGAACTTGACCTCTCCCCTCCCATTCCCCTCAATGTCCACTGTGGACCCCAGGGTGGCTCCCCACCCCCCGCTGCACCCACCCTGGCTGGCTCTGGGGCACCCAAATGGTCTGAAGCATTCCGCAGGGACAGCCCCGAGTCCCCTTTCCCAGGTCAGAGTTCTCAGTCAAGGGGTGTGGCTGGGCAACAATCATTCATTCATTCACTGCCCTGGCCAGCAAAACCCCTCCCCCTGGAACAGCAGGTCTCAATCTGTGGGTTGAAACCCCTTTGGGGGTCGAATGACCCTTTCACAGGGGTCACGTTTTATAACAGTAGAAAAATGACAGTGTTGAAGTAGCGGCGAAAATAATTTCCTGGTTGGGGGGTCCCCACAACATGAGAAACTGTACGAAAGGGTCGTGGCATTAGGAAGGTTGAGAACCACTGTCCTGGCGTCTGCCTGCCAGCCAGGCCTCCTGGGGCTGGCTCAGTGCCAGACAGAGCAGCCACGTGGACAGACCCATGTGTCACAGACACTCTGAGAGGGGCTCGGAGGTCAGGGAGGCTTCACGGAGGAGGGGACCCCAGGAAAGGTCCTGAAGGCAGGGTAGGAGTTTTTTTAATGGAACAAGCAGAGACGGCTGTGCCCTGTCCGGAGCAGAGCTCTGCCCTCACCCCGGCCCCCTCCTCTTTCAGAATGCATGAACTGCACCCGGCTCAGCGACATGAGTGAGCGGCTGACCACCCTGGAGGCCAAGGTGAGATGGGCAAGGGGGGGGTGGTGGAGGGACAGGGGGAGCAGGCCCGAGCAGTCTCGCCTTGGGAGGGAGGTTGGTGTTGCTGGGGCCTCAGCGTGACTCCAGGCGGCCTTGGCTGGAGCCAGCCACCTGCACGGAGGGGCATGAGTGAGGCGTGAAGAGTCCGGACGCCTCGCACCCCCCCACCCCCAGTCTGGTCTGCATGCAGGGCAGACAGGTGGACTCCTCCTGGGAAAGAGGGAGGGGCCCTTACACATTCGGCTGCTAACCACAAGGTCAGCCGTTCAAAGCCACGCACTTCTCCTCAGGAGAAAGAGGAGGCTTTCTACTCCCACGGACATTGACAGTCTCGCACACCCATGGGGGCAGTTCGACCCTGCCCCGTGGGGTGGCTAGGAGTCAGAATCTACTGGGCCGCAGGGGCTTTGGCTTTGCGTTCGGTGGAAAGAGGAGTGAGAAGCTGCACCCCACCACCCCACCGTGGCTGCTGGCCCCAGCAGGGCACAGCTTGTGCCTGACTGAGTACCCTGAAGCCCAGGTCGGCCTGGGACCTCCTCCCTTGTCAGCCAGCTGGCTCGGCCCTGCACCCGGGACACTGTGGCCCCGTGGAGCAGTGGCCAGCCTGTCTGTTGAGTGAAGAAGAGGGTCCCCGCAGCACCCCGAGACAAGGCCTGGGGTGCAGGGGATTGGATAGATTTGAAGTAAACCCAGGCCGCACAGGGAGAGCACACAGGGAAGAGGAGGGGCTGCCGGCCTGCAGTCCCATGGAAGTCCTCTGGGAGCAGTGTCGAGCAGGCCCCAAAGTTGCCCTCCCGTGGGGGTTTCTGAAAGGCCCCTGGTGTCTGGCTGGTGGCCAGGCAACGTCCTCAGCAGAGTCCAGGTGCCTGCAGTGAGAAGCCAGTGTTGTCGCCGGGGTGGTGGTGGGGATGTGCGTGGGGCCTAGAAGCATCTGCCCAAGGTTACCACAGGGGTGGGGGGGAGGGTGGCAGAGCTCCATCACCTTCAGGGGAAGCAGCAGCTGAGGGGTTGCCTGGAGGGCTGGGCAGAGGCAGGGGGCCTGAGACGGTCCTGTTCCAGGCTCAGTGGGGCCTCTTTGGGTATCAGGAACTTCGGGGTCACCTGGCTTTCAGGGCAGAGCCAGGGCCTGGGAGGCTGCTTCCATCTGAGCCCAAGACAGAAGGGAGACAGGCTGGAGCAGGTGGGTTGAGGCGGGAGTGAGCTCCCTGATGTAGGAGAGGTGCCAGTCTGGACAGCTGGCAGGGTGACTACAGGGAGGATAGAAGCACTAAGGGGGGGCCCTGACAGCAGGAACCCCCTAGAACTGGCCTCGCCATCTCGCTGTACCCCGGCTCAGAAGAGCCTGAGGGCCTGTGGGCACGGTGTAAACCCATGTACATACCTGCGGTTCTCAACCTGTGGGTCGCAGCCCCTTTGGGGGGCAAACGACCCTGTCACAGGGGTCACCCAATTCATCACAGTCGCAAAATGACAGTGATGAAGTAGCAACGAAAATGATTTTATGGTTGGGGGGTCACCACCCCATGGGGACCTGCATGAAAGGGTCACGGCATTAGGAAGGTTGAGACCCGCTGATGGAGACACTGCTCCCCACATACGCATGTGAGGGTGCATGCACACAGAAGCACACATGCACACACAAACACACACAGCCCTTGCCAACTCTTTGCTACTGGCCAGATCAGGAGATTGCCTACACCATGGAGGACTAAGGCCAGGGGTCAGACATACTAAGACATACCGCCCAGAAATGGAGGAACTTGGGTTGGCTACCCACCCCCCTCCCCCCAGCTTCCAGCTTCCCACCTAGGGGAGGGATAGAAGGCTTCTGGAAGGATCATGCCCCAGGAAAGAGCAGGGCTAGGGCAGCCTGGGGAGGGGACTCCGCAGAGGGGAGGGCACAGTGAGGGGAGGGGACAGGGCCCAGCGCCCAGCCAGAGGGGAGGGCACAACCGAGGTCCTGCATGGGAGAGTGGCCAGGCCAGCCCAGCTGCTCAGGCTGCTCAGAGGCCTCTGAGCCAGTGGTGGGAGCCCCAGCAAACACGGATGGGCTTGGCTCAGGTCTGGTGGGAGAAAGCAGACCCCAGACCGGGAGTCAGAGATCAGGCGACTGGAAGAGGTGGCAACCCTGAGGCCTGGAAGCAGGTTCTGCTCCTTCCGGTGGGTGGAGGGGGCTGCAATCACAGGTCATCATCATCCCAGTGGTGAGCCTGGCCACACAACCCCACCTGCCTGAGTCCCTCTTCCAAACTGCCCCACCCATCAGAGCCCTCATCCCCACCCCTTCTGCTCCAGTTTCTCAGCCCCTCCACCCTGTCCCACTCCGGGCCCTGTCCTGCGCCCTGGCCTGAAAAACCTCCAACACTCTCTTAACTGCCCTCCACTCCACCAGTGGCCAGCCCCCTCCCTCCCCAGTCTCTCTGGGCCAACTTCTGGATCTATAGGGGCCCAGGGAGCTTAGGATCCACTCCAGCTGCTTCCAGACACTCCAAGCCATCGGTTCTCAACCTGTGGGTCGAGACCCCTTTGGGTGGGTCAAACGACCCTTTCACAGGGGTCACCTGATTCATCACAGTAGCACAATGACGGTGATGAAGTAGCAACAAAAATAATGTTATGGTTGGGGGTCACCACCACATGAGGAACTATGAAAGGGTCTCCCCATTAGGAAGGTTGAGAACCGCTGCTCTAAGCAGACCCCTTCCTCCCCGGCCCAGGGCCTTGTGGAGGTAAGAAGAGTTCGGGTTCCGGGGTGACACTGGCCAGTGTGAAACCCTACTGTCCCACTGTGGGACCTTGGCCGTGGTGGTAACCTCTGTCACCATCATGACCCCTCAGGACCTGGGAGGAAGCTTCATGCAGCCCCAGTGTGGTTATTGCAGCTGCCTCTGGGCATCCCAAAAGGGAGGCAGGCCGGGGGGCTGGGGGGGGCAGGGCATGGTTCTGTGGGAGTGGGCAGTGGGCCAGTGGGCCAGTTCATAAGGACATTCATGTTCGATCAGCACTAGGTGGCTGCAGGATTGATTTGGTGCCTCAGTGAACTCACTGTCATCTTCAGAGTTGGTGCTCCCTGGTCACGGGAGCCCTGGTGGCGTAGTGGTAATGTGTTGGCCTGTGAACCTCAAGGTCAGCAGTTCAAACCCACCAGCAGCTCTGAGGGAGAATGATGAGGCTTTCTACTCCCATCAAGAGTGACAGTCTTGGAAACTCACCCTGTCCCGCAGGCCCGCAGTGCATCCGCATGGGCTCAACGGCCGGGAGTTTGGGAGCTGTAAGGCAGGCTTCTTGGCCTTTTGGCGAAGAGCAAGTATAGGATCTGTTCTTATCAGAGAAGCTCAGGGGGCCACAGTTGGAAACCACCAGCTGATCCGGGTCAGAAAGAGGGGCTCCCTACCCCTGTAAGCACTTAAAGTCTCAGAAACTCAAAGGGGCAGTGCTGACCTGCCCGCCAGGGTCCTTATGAGCTGATGGCAGGGAGTTGTTGAAGGCAGACTGGGAAAGAAGGGACCGGCCAAGATGAGGTGATTGCAATTGTGATTCCTCTTGGTGGCTGAGTCCACCCCATAATAGGGGTCCCAGATAAAAGGAAGGGGGGTGGCCAGCGGGGTACCTGCTTCCCTTCCTCGCCACCCCTTCAGCTGCCTGACTCTGATTTCACAGTCCATGTGAGTGAGTGGGAGGACCAGTCCATGTGAGGGGCAACCTCAGAGCTCGGCTGGCCTGGGAGGGGGGGTGTCCTGGCCACTCCTCAGACTGCAGTGACATCACTGGGCCACTGCCCTGGAAGGCTGCGGTCTGGTGTTCTTGGGCTGAGGCCCCACGCCCACTGCTGCCCACCCTGGTGAGCTCATGGCCAGCTTGGAAAGGGCTCAGCTTCTCTAGGAGGTTGGCCATGGTCAGCCCACAAAGGCTGGACTCCAGACAGGGCTGGAGGTTCACACTTGACCATGGCCCGGGCACCTCTGTCCGGTCAGTGGGTGATGGCGGGAGGTGCCCCAGGGAGAACTGGTCCAGGCCTTCTGTGTGGTCGTGGGTCCCCTTGAGGGAACAGAGGGCTGGACAAAGGCCCAGGGGTACCTCCCTGAATGCCTGCGTGCCGCCCCACCTGCCCTGTGGCTCCATGCCCCCTGCCTTCCTTCCACCCCTCCCTGCTTTTCTGTTTCCTCTGCACAACTATGCCAATTACACTAACCACCCTCACCCTCAAACTGCCCCAAGAAGCCAGGCCAGAAATGACATGGGAGAGCCGTGTCAGCCACCCCACCCTCCTCCCCAGGCCCCAGGTACCAGGTCCTGAGGCTCATTCTCCCTCCTCACCTCCTCACGCCCAACACCCTGGGCAGTGAGCCCTTGCTGAGCCACAGCCAGTCCGCCTCCCTGAGGCTGCTGGGACAGGCCGGCCCTCTGTGGTTGGGGCAGGAATCTCACCCCCTCCAGGGCAGCCCCAGGGACTCCAGTTCTACTGCCAGCTGCTGTGTCACTTCCTGCTCTGCCTCCTGGAAGGTCAACTAAGGGAGGACACCCGCTGAGTGTCCTAGGCCAGGCCCCAGGCCTGCTCGCCAGTGGCCTTGGCAGGTCACCTAGGGTCTCTGTCTTTCTATTTCTCACAGGCACCCTGTTCTTGAGGAAGCTTGGTGGGGAGGAACCCGCTCCCCCACCCAGAGCGGAGTCTGAGCCCAGCACCCAAGGGAGGCCAGCTTGGAGCTATGAGGGCAGCCAAGTGCTCACTGGCCCCCGACCTGCTGGGGCTGGGGACAAAGTGGGCCACTTGTCCCCAGGCTCAGGGACACTAGTGGTGAGGAGCTGAGGGAACCACTGCCCACTCCCAAAGGACCCCCGCCAGCCAGACCTGGCTCCCTTCTGGGACCCCCTAGGGGCAGCTGCAATGCCAGTGCCGGGGATGCAAGTTTCCTCTGAGCCTGAGGGGTCAGGGGGGTCATTATACTGCCAGGAAACTGAGGCTCACAGAAGTCACCCCACTTGCCCACACTCCCACAGTGGGAGAGCCCGGATTCAGATTGGTCAGCGTGACCTCCGGAGCCTGGATGACACAGTGGTTACTCATTGGGCTGCTCACTGTAAGGTCGGCAGTTCAAAACCACTGGCCGCTCTGAGAGAGAAAGACAGGACTTTCTACTCTCTTAAAGAGGTACAGTATTGGAAGCTCACAGGGCCCACGCCTGCCCGTGAAACTGGTAGCCAGTGGTCTGGGCCCTGTCACAGTGCCTCTGCCCGACCCCCAGTCTGCCTCAGCCCCAGACCTCTACTGTTCCACAGAGTGAGCACAGAGAAATAGTTGCCCTTCTCACTGGGTAGATCAGGGCACTAGGATGGAGTCTCTGTCGAGGCTGCCCAGGATGCCCAGAACCCTCTGCCCTGGCAGGGCTAGTTAATTCTGGGTGCTCAGCCTGGGACCAGACCCTGGTGAACAGTGCCTCCTGCTGGCCTCTGTGGGGAGAGCCGGGACTGGGGCCTGTGAAGGCTGGTGGCTTGGAGCTGACCGCTGTGGTCTGGGTCCCAGCAAGCTTTGGCCCCTGCCCTCCTCAAGGGGAGAGAAGGGGGCTGCTCTTCAGGCGCGTCCTGGAAAACCACAACCCCTCTTGGTTTTCCTGGAGCTCTGTTAAAAGCCCTGCACAGTGATGGACCCATTTATGCCCATCCTCCATCTCCCACCCATCCATCCATCCCCCATCTTCCCAGCCCCTGTCTATTCATCCACCCCCACCCTCCCCCCATTCACCCACCTGTCCATTTACCCACCCATCCACTTATCCACATGCCCACTCATCTAACTACCCACCCACCCAGCCATCTCACCATCCATCCACCTACCCACCCACATATCCATCCATCGATTCATCTATTTACCCATCCATCTTTCTGCATCTCCCTCTACCCATTTATTCATCCATCCATCTGCGCGCGCGCGCACACACACACACACATCTACACATGAATGTGTGCAGCATGCGGGGCGTGTAGGGGCCAGCACAGACGGCCTCTTGCAGTGAAAGGGGGGTGACTGCAGCCGTCACTCAGCCACAGGTGATGCCAGGAAAAGGTGCTGCAGGGAGCTCAGCAGTGTCTGGCAGGGCCCAGAGGGCTTTCCTGAAATGGGAAGAAGCAGGGGACAGGGGGACATTCCAGCAAAGGGAACGGTGTCCCACTGAAGAGCGTGACTGGGCACACCCAGAGCCGGGCAGCTGCAGGCCTCACGGGGGCCATGTCACTGCACGTGTGTGGCCTTCTCCATCCATGTGGCCCTCTTGGTCTGTGTGATCCCTGAACACGTGTCACCCTGACGTGGTCTGGCCAAGGCTGACCTCTGCTCTTGCCCTGGCCCAGGTTCTCCTGCTGGAGGCCACAGAGCTGCCCTCAGGCCCAGACAATGACCTGCCGGCCCCCCAGAGCACCCAGCCCCCATGGAATGAGGACTTCCTCCCTGGCGCCATCCCTCTGGCCCACCCGGGACCCCGAAGGAAAAGGCCCACGGGCCCAGCTGGTGAGAGACGCCTGCCGAGGAGGGCTCGGGTGGGTGCGGTAGACCTGGGGCCCCATGGCCCTGGGGACCACATGGCACTCTGGGGTGGGGAGTGCGGTAGTTCAGCACACATGGCTTTAAAAAATAAAACATTTTACTGGGGGCTTCTACAGCTCTTATCACAATCCACACATCCATGTGTCAGGCACATCTGTACACATGTTGCTAACATCCTTTTCAATTGTTTTAATGAGCAAATATTTATTTTTATTCGTTGTTGTTTTACGCTTAAAAA